TATCATGTTTGCATCTGCGCAGCACAGGCCACATTATCCTCATAGATAATGGTGGTGACTCTATAGAACCAATTCCACATGATTGTTGTTTATGGTTTATCATTCTGCAAAGCCATAAATATTCACATGATGCTTCAAATAATGAAATTATTTCAGAATGATTGGTAGATGTTCCCACCAGAGTATGTTTTGAAAACTTCCATGATATAGCAGTACCACCATGTAGGAACACAAAGCCGGTCTGTGATATGACATTATGGGGATCAGACAAATAGCACCGAAGGTACGACACCTCCGCAATCTGCACATGTTCAGCTCGGTGACGTCCCACGAACTCTAGATCCAGCTGAGGTCGAGGAAGAGTTTCGTCAGCATGACATCGTGATGACGGTGATGATGAAGTTACTGACACAGGGCTTCGCCTAAGCTCTACGACGATATGACCGAGGTGGATGTTGGTGTCAAAACCGGCGGATCTCGGGTAGGGGGTCCCAAACTATGCGTCTAAGGTCGATGGTAATAGGAGACAGGGGACATGATGTTTACCCAGGTCCGGGCCCTCTCTATGGAGGTAATACCCTATGTCCTGCTTGATTGATCTTGATGAATACGAGTATTACAAGAGTTGATCTACCATGAGATCGTAATGGCTAAACCCTAGACGTCTAGTCTGGCTATGATTATGAGGATTCGGGGTATCTACGGACCTAGCCCTCCAGTTTATATAGACACGGGAGGGATCTAGGGTTACACAAGGTCGGTTACAGAGAAAGGAATCTACATAGTTGGCCGCCAAGCTTGCCTTCCACGCCAAGGAAAGTCTCATCCGGACACGGGTGCAGTCTTCGGTCTTCATATCTTCACAACCCATCAGTCTGGCCCATGGCTAACAGGCCGGGCGCCCGAAGACCCCTTAGTCCAGGACTCCCTCAGTAGCCCCCGAACCAATCTTCAATGGCGAGGTGTTCGGTGCATAGATTGTCTTCGGCATTGCAAGGCGGGTTCCTCCACCAATGACTTCCAAGTAGTGTATTCGGCCTTCCATTCAATGTATGTACCCTTCGGCTTCTGTGTATCAACAACTTCAGCGTCCACGTGTCGAGCGGATGCGAGAGGTCAGGGAGTTTTTGCACATAACACCCCGGTCGTGCGAGGGACAATGTCTATTTAACGAGGCTGGATCCTAGATCCATTCAACCATCTCGCAAAGAAAATCCCGTAGGTTGCCAGGAAAGAACATGTCTAGCGTTCCCAGCTCCTCCTCCCGTCCCTGCGGCCTAGATAGAGGCGAGTGGGAGAGGTGCTCCGTATCCCACGGTCAGCTGGTGAAGCTGCAAACGCAGGGGTTTCTCCCCCCTGTAGATCTGGTCCCTGTCCGAGCAGGGTTGACTCCCTTGACGGCAAAACCCAGGTAGATGATTTCCCCAATCCATCCGGGGGAGCGAGTGTGTTTCGTCCCCTGTCTGCTAAGGGGCGTAGGATTTCCAATTCATCCATTCCTCCGAGGGGTTCTGGAATATTATGGCCTCCGGCTGCATAACTTTACTCCAGCCTCCATCTTGTACATTGCGGGTTATGTCGCTTTATGCGAACTATTCCTGGGTTGTGAGGCCCATTTTGAACTGTGGAGAAAGTTATTCTGCCTTGTCCCGCGTAACCATGAGGGATCGATATTTGAAGTGGGCGGAGCCGAAATATGGCGCATTGCCGAGACCGGATACCTATCCGGCATGCTAAAGAAGGCGTCTGAAGAGTGGACTTCCGAGTGGTTCTACATCAAGGACGTCGTACTCCCAGACCCAGCCCGGAGGGGTCTTCCTGAGTTCACAAGTGTTCCCTTGAAGAAACGTCACAGTTGGCGCCCTCGGAGCCTCGAGGAGGAAGATAGTGCGGAGGTTCGCCAACTCTTGAGCAAGATAAGGACACTCGCCCAGTCCGATACACGATGGTTGAAGTAATGGTGACCTCCATAGTGCGGGGAGTCCAGCCAGTCCAATACAGAGGACTTCCCATGTGGCACTATAATGGGGAAGATGACACTTCCCGCCGCGGCAGGAAAGGTCCAGACACCCTTGTCGCCCTGGCCAAAATATTGGCCGAACTGTTCAAAGGGGAGGAAGAGGAGTTCCTGCACATCAAGCACAGGGAAGGATATTCCATGTATAGTCCTCCTAGCTGGGTAAGTTCCCAACTCCTCTGCTCTACTCATTCTACTCCCTGAGCTATGTTCAACGAACACTAACCCATCCATTTACAACAGCATTGGCGAAAGATTTCCGAGGGGCTTTACAGCCTTGCCCCGCAGCCCGAGGGTCAAAATCGGTACCTCGACCCCGGATTCGAAGAGGATCCGGATATATTCGTGGTGCTCGCGAACGGGGTGTTTTACCAAACGAGCTATGACGGCACAGAAGTGACCATCATCGTCGATTATCCCTGTCTTCTCCCCGCTTCACACGTAAGTAATCCGGAGATATTTCATCCGAAAAAGTTTTCTCATACTGCCTCACCCACCATACTGTCATGTGCTCAAAAGGGGAGGTGATCGGCACGTCATGCTGCCCCAGGGGCATCTTCGAAGAGAGTGGCCCCCACGCCGGGCAAGCCTTTGAAGAGGAAGGCTAACAAAGATACGGTCGAGCCTTCATCAAAGAGGTATGGATTTGCAAATATGCACCTTGGCAGTCACATCCAACTATGACCTTTATGTTTATCATGTATCAGGAAAAAAGTGTGCCGGACTATAACCAGGGGTCCGGCTGGTCATACTTCACACAGCCAGGATCCAGATACTGCCGTAAAGACGGGGGCTGATGTGGGGGTAACACCGGACTGTCCCCCATCCGAGGATTCGGAGGATGTATCCATCACTAACTCGGAAGTGGAGAGCGCCATGAATCATCGATGTCGTAGGGCCGTTTTACAAGACCCTGGCTTTTCAGAAGAGGCATTTAACACCTTCAGCTTCGCTGATGCATACATCCGAGCTGCTCGAGATGGGCTTAACAGAGCCACAAGGCATCATTTAAAAGATGTGCGGGTAAGTTTACTTTGTGTAACTATGATAACCATATGCCAGTAGCCCCCGATACTTGAAGCAGTTGGTACAACTGATTTAAGTATCATTGTATAACTAGGTTCTTACGGAGAAGAACGACCTGTTAGCCCAAGAGCTAGAAAAGTGTCGAACGCAGCTAACTGCTGCCCGTGCCAAACTGGAGCAATCCAAGAAGGCGTCTCCTGGTAATGTTCCCCTCCATCGAGAAAACAAAATGGTATACCAATAATGTTAAAGACGGTTGCTTACCTCCTACCAGGATCACTAGGTCAACTGCAAGAACAACTGAAAGCTGCCCAGGACGGAGAACGAGAAGCCAAGAAGCTGCTAGCCGTGAGCAAGCGTGTGCTCAGAAAAGTTGTGCTAGAGAAGAACAAGCTCCAGAATTCGAATACCCGATTGGGCGAGGATCTGAAAGATGTACGGGCCCAACTAGACGACTCCGTGAAGGAGAATAAAAGGCTGCGTGGTGGCATGTTCAGTATGTGGCCGACTTTACTTTATAATAGTCCAGAGATACCAGGAACTGACAGAGTTATATCTGTAGGTATGCTGACCGACCGTACCGAAGATGAGATGTCCGGATTCTAAGGCGATCTGCTACAAGTGTTGTCGCGTATTCATGAGCAAGCTCGGTAGGTGATGTGAAGCATTGCCAAAGCTTTGTGGCCAACTGCCTCCCTCCAGGAAAGATGGAGGAGCTCCTAGAGCTATTCAAGGGGGCGCGGCGGCGCTTCCGATTGTGGAAAATATCGCCCTCCCGGAAAGGGGCTCGAGAAGCCTGGGCCATGGTGAAGACACGATACACCAAGCTTGACCCGAATCATATGGCTCGGGTCGGACCTTTAGGGTCAGACGGGAAGGAAGTTCCCGTTAATTGGTGTATGACCAAGTAGC